ACAGTTAAAACAACACATTTGACCTCCTCCCAAAATGCAAAACCACCAACAACCAACAATGGATGATTACATGCTGTCGCTGTTTTCTTCTCTAAAAGATGTGCTTATGATGGAGCTAAAACCAACACAACCACCAACAGTAACTTAGGGAGAAAAAATGACCATTTAACAATGCATCACAACCAACATTGTTGTTGTTCTTGTTATTACCTCCAACAAAAGGGAATGATAAAAGACAAATTTAAATCCTGTCCACAATTACTCTTTATATTGAAAAAAGCTTACTTTGTGTGTGTTCTGCTTCACCAAATCAGTCACATCATTTGTCAATTAATCCTGCCATTTTCTATGCAATTGCTCACCAAAAGTCCTCTAGCTAGCTGAAACACACTGACTTAAAGACAAATCAGGACTCCAAATCACCACAGACTGGATGAAAACATCCCCAACAGCACACAACAGTCCGTCGCTGCTTATTTGCTTCTTTTACTCAAATGTCTGACCGCTTTTGCCCATATCGTCACCTTATCGACACACCAAAACTTCTTTACATTATTGTATAATTTTCACTTCTTTCCATCTATTCATACTGTTACACACATACCGTTTGATATAGATTGCAAAAACTTTACATTTATATACATTAATATTAACAGACTGTCAAACTGTCAAAAGGGTCTGTCGAGTACAATTGTTGACATAATTCTACTCAGCAGACCCTTTTCACATTTGCAGGTTTCTCTGCAGCGGAAGGTTACACTCGGTGTAGGAGAAAGTACAACAAAGCCTTTAATTACAATCCTAATTACTGGAATAATCAAACACAAACTCCACCATGGAGTTAACAACACCTGCAGAACAACAAACTAACATTGCGTGACACTGATGACGGCAGCCACAATATAATCACAATATAATGATTATAATAATAATAATAATACTAATTATTATATCATCAAACTTACTGTCGACCCCATAGACGGTACATTACAAACACCTCACGAGAACACCAATTCAATTTTACTCATTTCACACAAACAGAATCCTGTAATACTAATGCTCATCTAACCGTCCTTCAAACTTTTTAATATTTCCATTTTTTGTTTTTTTTAAATATCGTAACACTTCAGATACAACAAATCCTTTCTTGTCTTTCACAATTCAAATATGAGCTGAAAACGCACACGATCGGCTCCTCAACACAGCAGGTGGTAATGCAAGAAAACCAGCTCTCCTCCTGTCCTCCGTTAACATCTGAAACGTCTCTCCATACACCCTTTGGTCACTCGGCCCCTTTTCACTCTACTTGCACAGAACGCTCATTACAAAATATGAATGTTTTAAATTAATCCAACTGACTTGATCTATCATGTTTGATGTAGTTGCAAATGTCGCTGTGCCACAGGTACAATGCTCTCGTTCCCTCTGAAACAGACAGGATGAAAACCATAGATATATCACTTCAGCCGTCTGTTGAATCACTCTGAAGGCTGTGCCTTTCCCACAGGCGGAAAGTCTTCCACTGAACGCAAACGCCTTTTGTTTTTTAATACACCCTTGTTCTTCAGCAGATTCTTGGATTGACTAGTTAAGGTAAATTTTCCAAGTGTCCGGCCCCATTCTGTAACGAGATCAGCCCATAGCGTGAAGCGCTACAGCTCCACGCTATGTATATTTTGCAGTCAGGTACGCATCTTTTAATCTTGGATTTGTCTTCGATAATTTGATGTCTCGTATTGATGCTTTACAAATTGACTGAATCAATTGGCGTAATACACATTTATGTTTTCAATTATTCAAACAGGCTTTGTGTTGTTATCTCTATTAGATTACATTTAGTCCATAACACCACAGTCGCCCGTACAGGTTACAGACTAAAACAGTATAGACAGGGCAGCGTTGCACGCCATACCATGTTACAGCTCAGACTAACACGTTGCTATTAATTCAACTATACTCACACTGTAAAAGGCCTGTCTAAGGGGACAGACCTTCATCTCTAAACTTATAATCGCATAGTGATTACAAATATGAACATTCTAAATTAATCCAAGTGACTTGATCCATCATGTTTGATGTCATTTCAAATGTCACAGTGCCACTGGTACAATGCCAGACATAAACACAATCACAGCAGTAAATATATCACTTCAGCTCTCTTTTCAACCACTGTGCCTTTGCTGTAGGCAGAAACTCCGCTAAATGCAGACGCCTTTTGTTTTTTAACACACTCTTGTTCTCCAGGAGATTCTTCGATTGACTTAAGGTAAAGTTTCTAAAAGTTCCCAGCGATTCTGTACTGAAATCAGCCCGTAGCGTGAAGCGCTACAGCTCCACACTATACATATTTCAAGGTCAGGTCTTTTCAACTTGGATTTGTTTTTGATCGTTTCATGTCTTGTATGAATCATTTACCAATTGACTGAACGAATTAGCATTTACCTGGATGATAAATTCTTACATTTTCAATTATTCAAAGACAGTTTGTGTTATTATCTTTAGTAACTTGCATTAAGCACCACAAGCCCCTGTACAGGTCAGTAACAAATTAAAGCATTATAGACGGAGCGGCGTGGCACGCCATTCTTACAGCTCCGACTGACACATTGCCGTCATTTCAAGTATACTTACACATAAAAAGGCCCGTCTAAAGGGACAGACCTTTATCTCTGAACTTATACTCGCATAGCGATTACTCAAAGTTATTCATACTAAATAGCTCTGTTTGTTTTAGGAGATAGCAGCTCTATGCTGTAGGCTCCAGCCAGTTGGTCCAATGACGGTGTCCACTGGTGGATGAAGGTTCACTGCATGTTCGGTCATTCCAGTGCACAATGTTGATCTATATTAAACTTAACTCATACCTGACTCCAATTTTAGTATGAGATGCTTTACAATATGAATATATTTATCCTCGTTTTATCTCACTACAATTATAAAACATTGAGAAGGTTATTCTGTTTCCTTTCACATTATTTTAGATTATGATTGAATATTCTTTTGATTTGTTATTATACCTTGTTCTCATTTACTCAGATTCCTATAGCAGATCGAGTCTCGCACCGGCCGGGTATACGATCTCTTGGTCATTAAACAGAGGCGATTAACCGCTCTCCTAAAAAGGCAGAACCCTACATTACTCAATTTAGGAGGTTTTTTATGCAGTCCCCATAGATCTGTTATCTACTAAACCAAGACAAAGTATTTTAATAATAATCGCACAGGATTATAAGTTTGCAGATGAAGGCCTAAATACCCACATTTACATTAGTTTCAACAATATTTTGTTCTTCTAAATAGAAACCCCATTGTTGGCCTTTTACAGTCTAAGTATACTTGAATTAATGCCAATGTGCTAGTCGGATCTCTAACAACATTGTATAGCGTGCCACGCTGCTCCGTCTAACATGTTTTAGTCTGTTACTAACCTGTACAGGGGCTTCTAGTGCTAGGGACAACAACATTTACCACTGATAATAACACGAGGACTGTTTCAATAATTCAAAACAGAACAATTTATCAGTCAGGTAAATGAGTATTCTGCCAAATTCATTCAGTCAATTCATAAACGATCAATACAAAACATCAAATTATCAAAGATAAATCCACAATTCAAACATGCATTCCTGACTTCTAATTATACATAACGTGGAGTAGGCTCCATGTTACGGGCTGATCCGGGTAATCAGAATCACGCCAAGCATTTCTCACCCCTTACCTTAAGTAATCCAAGAATCCCCTCAAGGAAAGGGTTGTGTGCATAACAAAAGGCATTCACTTTTAGCGCTGCCTGTGGAAAAGTCACAGCCTTCACAGCGGTTCAACAGATGCCTGAAGTGATATATTTACTGTTTTGATTATGTCTATTTCTGAGAGAATGAGAGCATTGTACCAGTCGCACTGAGACATTTCAAATGATATCAAACATGATAGATAAAGTCAGTTTGGTTAATCTAGAACGTTCACACTTTTAAATGACCGTATGTGTGAGGTGGGGTGATTGAAGTCCAGTTTCAGCGGATTCACATGTCACATGTAGCGGGAGCTGCTTCTTTCTCACATTTCCATCTTGTGAAGCCAATTGTCTCTGTTTTCGGCTCATGTTCAATTGTCAAACACATCAGAATATTTGTAATATCTCAATTCTTACATTAGTAACAGATGAAAGCATTATAGACGGAGCAGCGTGGCACGCCATATACCATGTTCTCAGAGCTCCGACTGACACGCTGCCGTAATTTCAAATACACTTAGACTATAAAAGACCCATCGAAAGGGACAGACCTTCATCTCTAAACTTACACTCGCATAGAGATTACTCAAAGTTATTACTCCTAAATAGCTCTGTTTGATTTTCAGCTCTACGGCGACCGCATAAAAAATATCCTAATCTGAGTATGTAGAGTTCTTCCTTTTTAGGATAGCGGTCAATAGCCACAGTTTACTGACAAAGGCTGACACGCTCGTGCTTAACGGATCGTATACTCGGCCGGTACAACACTCAGGATGTTATAAGAAACCGAATGAACGAGAATAATATAAACATAACATAAATATTCAGACACTTTTTCTAATTAAAATATTAACAACTGTAGAAGATTTCAGATTAAGATGAGCGTTAAACACCTCACGCTAGTCTTGTGAGAAAGATCCGTTGTCAAAAACAATTCTTCAACAGATCTTGAACAACTCTCACAAATTACACACTTGATCAGTGTTTCAGTCACTGCTACACCACTATTCACTTTCAACACACAAACTTCTTTATATTTCACTTTTGGAAAATAGTTTAATCAAAGTAGTTTCACATTTCTCTGCCATTTTCCATGTCAATATTAAATGTAATTTAATTTGAAATGTGACATTAACACTGCTTTCAAAAGTCCCTCCATCTGCTGTGAAACGCTGTGATGATAGACTCTGCATATTCAGCTCCATGTGCTTTTGTTTCGATAGTCAGTTTGCTGCACTCACCTGTCCTCTTTCTTTACTTCCTCCAGTATGCAAAGCTGGCCATCAGCCTGAAGGTGCCTGGAGGAGGAGGAGGAGGAGGAGGAAAGAAGAAACCCAGCGCTTCTGCTTCTGCTCAGCCACAGGAGGAAGAGGACGACGAGTACGCTGGAGGACTCTGTTAAAACACACACACGCACACACACACACACACACACACACACGCGCACACACGCACACACAATGCAAGCTGGACTGGCATCCTCTGTGATCATCTCACCGTCGCTGCATTAAACAAACACAAATGAAGTGCGTACGCCACGGGCTCCTCTCTCTCAAGTACGTGTATTTATTCAGGTCTGCCTTTACACTTCATGTTCAGTTCCACAAGCTTTACAGGCAACACCACACCTGAGAAACAGCCTCTCCCGGTGGACGGACCTCCTCGCAGACACCAACACTCATCCCGGGTAAATCAACAGTTCACATCACATCAATATTCCCTCACACTTTACAGCAACGCTTCATGTTTTTACTCATTCACACGCACTGTAAACGTGACTGGTTACTTCAAAACCGTGAGTAAACCCATCGCAACACACACCTGCAAGATGCCTTAATGTTATGCCCGTGCCTTTTCTGCACAATAATACAAATAACGCGATGTGTTTACGTACTGTTTGAATGTAGACTGATTCCGTTATACAGCGGATAAACTGCCAGCGTCACCAATCACGTTAACTCAGCACTTCAGGTCATCGTGACGAGCGCACATCAACACTTTAACAATGTTCTTAACCGCAATTGACCTTATACAGATGTAAAACTGTGCTCGTTATCATTACTTAATGCGCATGATTGACGATGTTAACACAGATACATTTATTGAACTGTCACAGCGGCGGATTTACCCATCCTAAACTATTCCAGACACGTCTTTAAACGCACCATCACGCAGTCTGCTACTCTGCATTACAGTGCGATACTACTGACAATAATAATAATAACAACATCATGTAAAGGATCTTGTAAAACTTTGAGTAATTTTTTTCCACTAAACGATTTAACATTTATTTGACAATATCTAGCATCTCAAATCCACTTCCCTCAACTAAATAATCGAAGCCATCCCTGTTTATATTGCATGTCAACACGTGTGCACAATACAAGCTATATTTTAACACATCTGTAACCCCTGACTTCCATACGATTTAGTTTTCCTGCCTTTTAACTTTCAGCTTTCTTCCCGATGTCTTATTTTGTGTTCAGAAACTACTTTGGAAGCACTCAAGAGAGACGGTAAACACTGATTAAATTGTCTTTTTTGGGTGAACTATTCCCTTCATTCCTATCATTACTGTTGTATGTTTTTCTTTGACCAAATTAATTCTTGTGAGCGGGACAGCTGCGCTCAAAAACACTCTAATATGCAATCACAGCTCTGAATATGAACTATTATAAAACAGTTTCTTATCCAATTCCCTCAACTAAAGCTGTCCTATTTACATTACATGTCAACTGTAATGTCATGTGTATTTATATAGCGCATTTATCGTGTATGGCCATACACCCAAATCGCTTCACAATCCACACCACCACCACCACCACCAATGATCCAACTGATCGTCATCTTAAGGTTCTGTCTGCGTTCTGACTGATTTTCAGATATTGAGCGTAAAAGTTTGTGCATTCCGTACAGCAAACGGTACGTGTGTAACATTCGTTTTGTTTTTTATAAAAGGTTAAAAAAAGTCTTTAAAAAAACACATCCCATAATGTCATTTAATAAGAATGCCAATAACTCAATTTTCTCTCAAATGTCGGATCGAAACCTTATAATTCTAAGGTGGCGAAATGTATAGAACAGAGATGTCCAAGCTCAGTCCTGGAGGGCCGGTGTCCTGGAGAGTTGATCTCCGACCCTAATCAAACACAGCTGAAGCAGCTCATCAAGCTCTCACTGGACATACTGGAAACCTCCTGGCTGCTGTGTTGAAGCAAGTTAGGGCTAAACTCAGCAGGACGCCGGCCCTCCGGGACCCACATTGGACACCCCTGGTATAAAACATGTCATATTTTTATGAAACGTGTAAGCATTGACTTCCATAGAATTTGTTTGAGGAAATAAATATCTACATAATGTTCTGCTACTGATTCCTAGCATCTGTTCAGTTTAATTAAAAACAAACATGTACTCGTTTCACTGCTGGACTTCTTCAAGATTGAGGATGGCGGACTTTCTAAACCCTCGCCATGCAAAATATTACAGAAAACAGTGCTGTATACAGAGCTACGATTAATACTTCTAGCTCTTTATTCAGGGGCTGAAATATTACACTTTTTATTTAATATCTAAATGACGTTTTAACACTGTGATTCTGCCCAAGACACCATCATTAATCTAAAGTGATGCAAATTATGAGGGCTACTCGCATCAGGTCTGACTGCGCATGTGTCAAATACAGCGTCACGTCTCCAAACTGATGCATATCGTCAGTTCCTGCATGGCTGCGTCTCTCGGCTAATCAATGGCCAGGTTATTGGATGATTTGGATGAAACCTGTAATAGCAGCTTGTTTTTATAATAATAGTAATACTTATTAGGTAACTCTTTACTATAACAGTACATGAATAATGATGTATTAATATGTAAATTAAACATGACTTTATTATGAATTAGTGATGAGTTAAGGTGTGATCATGAATTAACTTTAACTACAACATGAGACACATGAGTTCATGTGTCAATGACGGCTACCTTAATGACTCGTCACTACATGTTGTTAATTAATGTATTAATTTACATTTAAGTTTTAGCTAAACGTAACCAACATGACCTCATGAGCTGTTCATGTATAGTCATGTCAGGACTTTACTCGGAGGAGCACATCACCGTTAACTCATTCTTAACTACTCATCAACTCCTGTACATGTTGATGTTGACAGAACCCTTTTCAGTGTAAACCCACTAGTAGGACGTGCGTAAGGAGCTCACGAGTAGTTAAGATTGGGTTAATGATGATGTGCGCCTCCAAGTAAAGTCACAACATAATTATACATTAACGTATCACGAGTTCATCATGGTTACATTAAGCATAAACCAATTAATACATTCATTAACAAACAATCATGTACTCATGTGTCATTAAGGTAGCTGTCATTCACACATGAACTCGTGTGCATCATGTTGCAGTTATTCATGATTAGCGCACACCTTAACTCATCGCTAATTCATAATAAAGTCATGTTTACTTTACATATTAACACATCATTATTGATGTACCGTTATTGTAAAGAGTCACCACTTATTATAATAAGCCCACTAAACTAACCGAGTGCAATCCGCAGAACTTATTCTAGCTACATCTTCCATCAACGCCACTGCCAGTTCTTATTAAAGGATTCGGCTTTGAAGAATCCACTACAGGCCGTGAGCAGCCGCTTGCTTTGCTGATGGGTAAATCCGCCCCTGCGCTGGGATCAGTGTACGCTGTATCGTTTGCTCATGTTAAACGCGTCAGCTGATGAAGCGCTGCTGTAAAGTGGAACTGTTTCATACGCTGGGAAGTCCGTAACAGTGCCTGCCTTAAACAAAACAAGGGGAATGTATCTGTCAATACTCGGTTCACGACTGATGCCGCAGATGAACGCATGATCGCCTTAACAATGACCTGATCATGACTCGGCGGGGAACACTTTTGCTTGTTATTAATCTGCGCACGCTCTAAATAAAGACATTTCTAGTGCA